TGGTTATGGCAGTCCCATGGGTTATGGTATAATATCCATGTGTTTTCGTTCTTGCCCGAAATCCATCGACTTCGAGTGACCCCGATGTCCGTTTCCGACCCCTCGGCCTCAGCCTGCGCAGCCGCAACGCGCAGGCAAACTCCTCCTGTGCCGAGCAACCATTGTCACTGTGATGTAGGTACCAGGAGGATCCAGTCGTCCCTTCTGAGAAGCTGGTAGTGGTGGCAGTGGATCCCTAGATTGCTTGGATTTGTTTTTAGGGCTTTTTAAACCACAAAGAACGCCCACTACCAAGTCAACCGAACTTTTCATGGTCGAACTGAAGGGATTGGGACATCGATCCTATAGCAACCTTTATCCCGTCGGAAGCAGCCACCCCCCTCGAGAAAGGCCCTGACGGTCTGGTCTGAATCGACGTCCTCAAACGAAAGAAACGGGAAATCGAATTGCAAAAACCATCCAAAACCAATAAACCCAAGCATTTTGCGTTTTAAGTCAGAAAAGACAAAGACAACAACATCCGGGTTTCGGGCGTCATTCTGGTTTTGCGGAAGGGGCTTTGACAGGGATCGTGACGACCGACTGCGCACCTGAAGTTTTCTGGTTTTGGGATGTTTTGGGCTCCTGGCCTACCTCTGTTTCGGTGAAGGTGGTTGGAGGGGTCTCACCTTCGGATACACTTGGAGCATTAAGTCAGCATCTGGTGAGTGTTCTTGACCGAAGTGGAGAAATGCCAGGTCCTTTGGCGCGGAACCGCCAACAAGCGGCGCGCCAGCACGCGCAAACGCGGCAGCACGCACTTCACACCCCTATAGCATTCACTGAAATCATGCTAAGTGGATGGGACATTTCTGAATACCAAACAGGGCACTCCTTATTCTACCATGAGCTTCTTGTTACTAGTAGCGATGGTCTCCACCTACTAGCTTCTTGCTACTACAGGTGGTGCCATCCACTTACATGATTAATTCAGTGAGTGTATCTATCTATAGAAGATACCTGAGTCTGGGCGACCTTTCCTCACTGTGTCTTGCTTCGATACAGTGTCTGTTTGTTGAAACATGGAAATCCCAGTGTTGTATAATTGTATATTACTTATATTATATATATATATATATTATATATATATTATATATATATTATATATATATATTATATATATATTATATATATACTTTTTTTTTACCGGAAAACACATAAATTGGAGGACACCCTTGACAGTGGATGCATGCGGCTCTACTACCCACCCAACTGACTGAACTAGCCAGCACTTTCCTCTCCTCTTCTCCTCCTGACACACAGATTTCACGCATTGTTACATTGTTTCGGAAAATATCTATCCCGTTGCTAGGACAGCCCAACCAGAAAGCACATCCCCCACCAGGGGGGTTAAAACTGACATCTCCCACACGGCTCCGGAGCCGCAAAAACCATCCCCAAACCTACAGAGGTAGCCAGTGACCTGAACTAGGACCCGTCACCAAGGGTACCCAACTGGGATAGTCTAGTTCGGGTTCTGAAACCTCTGGTGAAAACGGTCTCCAACCTCAAAACGCTCAGGTCATGCCGCCTGCGAGCCGCTGGCGCCCTCGCGCCAGGGTGCGCTCTGACGCCACAGGGACTCCGCCAGCGGCCAGCGCGGCGAGGCCTGCATCGAGACCAGGTCCGGTGATCTGGGGAGATCTGGGTGGTTCAAGCTGGGATGAAGCGAGGATGAAGCAGAAATCGTTCAGAAACCGAATCCATGGGAAGAAACAACACCTCATGGATGATGCTTTTCAATGTGGATGAAACAAGAGCAGGAATTCATTTCATTCAAAAGTTGAAGGGACTTGCGCGGGGTGTGAGAAAGACTTTGTTGCGCGGGGTATGTCATGCACATGTTCCAAACTTTGGACTCTTTGGTTTCTGCAGGTGGGTACGTGACGGTAGGTGCCTGTTTACGTACTCACCAGGAGGTTGGAGCCCTGATCCCTTGCGCTTGGGTAGCAGAAACCATGCAAAAGGATACGTGTATAAATACATTCCTTGGCAAGAAGTGGACGTGGATGGAACAAATACACCCCCGGATGACCCTGAAATCCGAATACCAAACAGGTGGTGCCATCCGCTTTCATGAGTAGTTCAGGGAGTGCACAGCTGACAGAAAGAAGAATGGCCTTCATCCGCGGCATGAGGCCGAACGCGATTCTGTGCATCAGTGGTCGTTCTTCGGTTTGTTTGAATGATTTATTCCTTAGGGCTCCTGTCCCACCTCCGTTTCGAAGATGGGCCAGGGGTGGGGGCCAGGAGGGTCTAACCACCGAACCTGAGGAGATGGGCCAGGAGCCCTAGGGATCAACACTGGCTAATTACTCAGGATTCCAAAAAGGAACCCCCTCGACCTGGTACCCCATGAAATGCGCATCCGGCGCATCCGTGTGAAGTGAAATGATATACGGATGTCTCCACGGATGTGTCCACAGAGAATCGTCTTTGGAGTGTTGCTCCAGCTATTGAACACGGAGGTGGATGCAGAAGAATCGATACAAACATCGTTCTTCCGCTGTTTTGAAGTCAGTGGAACACCGGGACACCCATCACCCAAGCAGCCACGGAGCGGGTTCTTGGGGCATGAAGCCCTGTGGATTCACCGTCAAGGGGCGGAAATGTCAATGGCATCGAGGCCATGCCCAATCCTTTTGGTAGCCCTAGAGTGATCCAGTCGTACCGTACCTCAGGTTCGGTACCTGGCACCTACATAAGGTACGTGTCTCCTTCCTCACCTAACCTGAGGTTCGGTACGACTGGATCCCCACGGAAGGAAAATCGAAATAGCCCCTGAAATCACGTCTCACCAACATCTGACCGGGACCCGCATGCGGGAGAGATCATGTATCGGAGTTCATTTTTTCGGTCGACTGGTAAACCACACAACTCACGAGACAGGTCGGATGACTTCTGTGTCCAAATCTTCACCCTTCGCATCTTGTGGAATATTGATGAATTATATGAACATGATAGACTGAAAAACCTTCTGGGCCCCGAAAAAGGTGGTGAAATCACCTCTGTTCGGGGCGGAAAAAAGACACCCGTTGGGGGTTGGTTTGGATTCTAAAGCCTCTACACTCATATGCATATCCTTTTATTCATCCTTTAGTAGAGGTTTACCTATATATCAAGCCTCTACCTCTTCCTTCAGTCTAACATCAAAAATCCTTGGACCTGTCCATGGGTCTGGGGGACAAATCGATTCCATCGCTGTCCGCCGGCAAGAGACATGAGTACTTCTGCCGATCAAAGCGATGCCCAACCGGCCGCCACTGGCGCTCTTGGGGGTGTGTTTTTGTGGTCCAGCAATGACCAAATCTGGTTTCTACTCGTACTTTCTGCCGCATGGTGCCACCCTGAAGAGGGTGGCACTCCCAAAAGAGCGCTGCAACCATCCCTCCAACGCCCTCAACACCACGTCAGGCCGTCAACACCCTGTGTCCATCGTTCGATGGCACCTGCAAGGCTTGGGCTAAGTCCATCAAGCCTTCCAGGTTGGGCGCCAACCTGCGATGAAACATCCGTCGCGGGTCGTCCGTCGCGCATGTGCGACCCACTCCCGCTCGTGGTGTTTGGGGTGCGCGCGCGGCCGGGGCGAAGGCAGGAGAAGGCGGCCGAAGTGGGTCATACCCCTTTTTGGGAAACAAGACTGGGCCCACACCCAACATCTCTTCAGAGTGTGGGTCGTGGAGGGCTCTAATCCTCCTGTTTCAGGACGACGGCTAGGCTAAGTGCCAGTCATTCTTCCTACTTGAAAGGCCATCCATCTCACCCTGCCACTGCCATCGATACATACAGGACTCCAGTCCGAGGCTGCGCCGCTTTTTCGCTGCTCGGGCCCTAGGACCTTTCAACGTTTGACCCTGCTCTCAGTCTTTCAGTCTTCGGGGGGGGACGACCAAATGCAAGCCAGCAGAAGTGAGGACCGGTGAGGAGATGCTATCCACATATAGGATCACATAGACCAGGTATTGCTCGCAAGCGCCGTGTTGTTATAGGTGTCTCCAAGAGAAAGAAACTGAGATTGCCGTTCTGAAATCTGGTGCCATCCTGTAGTCATGTTTTCAATGAACCTCAGTCTAACCTCAGTTGCATTGACAGGTGCTCTTTGGAGGTTCTCTTTTCGGCTCCCTGCATGCGTGCCGAAACGTTTGCGTCCACGGGGTTTGTCCCAGCCGGCGCTCGGAAGGCTTGGGGAGGCGCCCCTTGACCCGTCTTGGTTCGATAGGTGTCCTGAACAAGGAGGTCCCGAATGGTAGGGTAGGGGCGAAACCAGCCAGGTAACCCCGGAAGGTCCATAAGAAATTTATATATATATATACAGATGTATGAGTATGCAAGCCTTTACATATATCTTTAAGTTATCTTTAGTGCTTGCCTTCAGGCAACTGTGGCAATCGGTCTTTGCAAATCAAACCTAGGTGTCTGACCGAAACCCAACGGTCTCGAGTCAACGGTGGCTTCCCCATCCCCAGGCATCGGCACCCCTGGACTGCCAAGAGCAGCGCGAAGGCGCATTGATGCCCTGCGCCGCACACGGGTACCAGGAAACGAGCGGTCGAGGTACGGGTCGGCGTCTGGTAGAAGAAATCTATGTCAAAGACGCATGGGTCCATTGAACCTGGACCTACGGATGGACTGTAAAGACCGGGCGAAATGAAATCAGCCGCGCCGCAAGATACCTGTTCGAAAGAAACCATGCCCAACGTGTGAAGTGGACCTGTTCGACAGCCTTCAACTGAGCTTTGGCACTCATAACCAAAAAGTCTTCAACCTTTGGAATGCACAAGTCCAAAAAGTTGACATCGATGTCCAAGAAGTTGAAAGGTTTGGTTGGTCCATGCAACCGCCAACGGCCAGGATGATCGAGCTGAATACATCCAGCCAAATATTCGGAGTTTGCCAACGTCTTCCAAGAAGAAAGACTCGGTGCCTGCATGAGGCTGCTCTCTGGGATTCTTGGGGGCTCTTGGTTAGAGCATCCATGGCTCCCTTTAAGAAGTAGAGGGGTCTGAAGCCATGGCTCCTGTTCGAACCCAGTCTTCGTGCCAATTCTGTTCCAGTCTTGGGGGTCCAATCAAACGAAAAACAAAATAAGACCAAACAAATCAAGACAACCGCGTCCAATCAATTGATGAGTTCGTTTTTGGTCTCCCTTTGGGAAACACTGGAGATCCCCAAAGTAAACTTGCAGGCCTCATGTGCGGCCTCTAGAAGAGAAAATCAGAACGTGTCCACCCAAGGTCTTGAGTAGCTGAATAGCATGCAGCATGCTATTCCCAAAGTTCCTGAGGGGTCTTGAACGTTTTTGAGCCAATCATGGAAGTGCATGAGAAAATGGTCCTTTGGATGACCATGTTCCGGATGCCAAACAGGTTTTTTGTAACTTCCAGGTCCAATTCTAAGGAGTGTACAAACCCCCAACTTCATCCTTTCGTCCTTCATCCAAGTGCATTAGGACGTCCCTCTAACCCACATGCGGAGCTGTCACATGTTTTCTCCACCCAGGCGTCTGACGTCGGGCCGCTCACCTCCCATCACCGAAAGATCGGTCTGCGTTCGCACCGCCTGGCTGATCCGCTAAGCGCAGCAACTCCAGCAGCTCGCCACCTGCGGGCGCTTCCGGACTCCAGTGCCGACGGTGTGGAGGAAGTCCCTGGGCAGCCGGGTGTCGGTCTACACCACCTGATCTGGAAAAGAGCAGAACTGTGACCTTTAGAAGTCCAAAGACTATATGGCTGACTGAAGTAAAGAAAGGTCCTTTTCACTCGGGTGACCTAAAGACCCTTCTTTTGCTTCGTCTGGAAACTCCGGTAGATGCATTGACCCCAACCACCCCCTGGTCGGTCAATCGGTCAATCTGCTCGTCCCGACGGTCCGTCCGACATGGAGCTGAGACGCGATGTCTTAGACTCCTTACGTGAAAAACCCAGACGCGACACACGGGACTGGCATAGATACCAGTCCCATTGGGGTGGTTGAAGTCGGGTCAATGGGGCCACTAAGAAACACCAGTCCCATGTGTCGTGTCTGTGGAATCCACTGTCATACCGTACCGAAGGCGAGGCCGAGACAGGCCCGGTTTGAGGCCAGGTTTGGAGTACCGAGGTCAGGAGGTTACTGGACTCCAAGGCCGTAGCTTTGGACAGGTTTGGGGGGTCCAGTCATTCGCCTCAGAGTCCAGGTAAGACTGGATCCGGGCAAGGAGAGAGCGCCACCGACCATGACTTCCGACACCTGCTCACCTATGGTCACCTGGTCCTAAACTGTCCGTTCGCTACGTGGTGGACGACCAGTCGGGCGGGCGAGCGAACATAGTTGGGACCCATCACCGCGTGATCGTCTGTTCGAAAGCCTTCATGGCTGTGTGGAGCCCCAGCTATGACCCCTGCGGTTTGGTCGAAAAACATACCAGTCTACCCAGCCAGGGCCAGGATGCGTGCCCATTCACCAAGGACTTGCCTCCTCTAAAGACCTCTACCCTTCTGGGAGTCCACCATTTTCGAAGGTCTCCAAGCCTTTGGAAACTGGATCATCCGAGACCAAATCATCGAGTCCACCCGGAAATGTCCGAAACCATCCAAATAATTCCAAAATAGAGTTTTCTCCCTTACTACAGCCGACTTTGTGACACAAGATCTGGCGTTTTTTTCTGGCTAAAGATCTGGCGGTGTTTTGTAGGTCTTGCTGCTTTCGCGAAAAGACTGGATTCACTGAGGCAAGAACCGGTCGAATCGGCGAGAATCCAATTTGTTTCTTAATTCGATTGATTTGCCTCGCGACCTCAGTGCCTGTGTCAAACTGCACCTTTCAAGCCTAAAATATGTCCAAACTGAGAGATCCTCAAAGCTCGAAGTGGTTCAGTGTGGCTCGTCATCGCCTCCAACTTCACCCCCTTTGGTCAATGGGTCCACTACACCCGACGTTCCACGACGTTTGTCATCGAGTCATCACTCAAGCCGGTTCGACCGGTTCGGTGAAGCCAGCTTCGCAATTCTTAGTGCAGCATTGGAGGGACTCTAGTCTCCACAAGAACTCAGTAGACCGAGCAACTGGGGTGTGCCCCAAAGCTCCAGCGAACTCCGACCACGCAAAGGGTCCGCGTGATTCACGTGCAGGCTTGAGAGTTGCATGGTGAAGAAGGACGTAGCGTAAACCCCTCCAATAAGGAAATGCTCTCATCTTTCCCATTGGGCCCACAGGTCTAGTCAACCATATGAGTTACTCCGGGAGAGTACGGCCCCTGCATGCCCCTGCTCTCTCTTGCAGTGGAGGACGAATCCAACAAGCACCCCGAAAAGAGATACAGTTCCCCACCGGTCCCCGAAAAGAGATATAGTTCCCCACCTGTCAGGTGAGGATTGTTAGATTTTATGTCGGCTGCCTTCCTCTTTCTCCTCCGGCTTCGCCTCCGCCTTGTCCTCAACCGCCAGCTCCGGATGGCACTTTTCCCCGCCGGACCTCAACCACGGAACTTGGCAGTGTTCCCCGCCAGGCCTCAAACACCAGCTCCGGATTGCAGTGGGCACTACCGGACCTCAACCGCAAGCGCCATATCGCAGCGGGCACACTGCCGGACCTCAACAGCAAGTGCCAGATTGCAGTGGGCACTACAGGTCCTCAACACACAACACACAACACACAACCACAGACACACAATACACAGTACACAGCCAACAAAACACAATCACAATGCACAACCACAGACACACACAAGCCACAAACATACAATCACACAACCACAATCACGAACACACAGCCACAAACACACAATCACAAAAACCGCCACAGCCACACAACCACAGACACACAATCACAAACACGCAACCGCAAACACAACCACAGACACAGAAACCACAAGCACAACGGCACAAACAGACAACTACAACAATATAACTACCTGTGTGTGTGTGGCATTTTGCGTGGCAGGTAGTCACGGGGTAGCACTTTTGGATGCCAACTGGAGACCCTGGCGACACCCCGACGCGAATCTCCCTAACATTAAAAAAAACATAAAATAGAATAGCAATCCCAAACCCGAGGACCCACAAGCAAAATCGAAAACCACAAAATTCACGACCATGGCGACATGCTCCTCACCATGGCATGAAAACAAATGATTGAAATGTCATGATGGGGGTCACTCGAAGTAAAGTAATTTGATATAGTATATGTTAATATTGCATATTATATTACTCTATATTAATACATTGCTGCTCAAAGATGAAGCAGTGAAAATTTCACTCACCGAATCCTCTTCTTCTCGAAGTGTTTTGGATTCATTCTCGGCGAATGACCAGCTTCTTCAAAGTGACCTAATTTGAGGGTCCCAGGCAGTGACCCAACACAAGGCTTAAGTAGACAATGAAATCTGCAATCTCAAAATGATGCAATATCTTTGGATGGTCGCTACTAGAGGCGATCTTTGGACAGAAAGGGCACATACCCTCCCTCCAATAATCATCGAAGCTGACTTCCGCACCCCTTGTGGAGGAAATGGTCTTACAGGGGCCGAACTGTTCCACTTCTACCAGGACCGGCTCTATGTTTCTATATCAATCGCCTCATGAGAGGTGACTCAGGGAGTCCAAAAAGCACCGAACTTGGAAGGCTTTGGTACTGTATATGATTGTTTCTGAGTCGACTCCATTCTCTGTTCAGCCAATCGAGTCGCGAGTCGCTTGCGCTGGCTCTTTGGGACGAGCGCTGCACGCCAATGGAGAAGACAGGTGTGGAAATTCTGTTCATTTGGGGGGTCCAGTAAACTAACCCTACAGGTCAGGTAGACCTCATGAAATACTGGACGTGGTCATACAAGGAAAACGACCCAAGGAGGTAAAAGACCAGGTTTTACCTGGTTTTACTGGGTCCTTGGACTTGTAGGGTAAGGTTTATCATGTAAAGTGTGTGCACAGTAGGAGATCACGCGATGGTCCTAATTGGCTTCTTCTGCCTTCAGTAGAGAGGCGATTCCGAAACGGAATTCGGTGTCCCTTCGACGGTCAAGAGATGTCCAGTTTCTGTTGAAATCTAAATTGGAGGGTTGAATTAAAAAGTTCCTGCTTCCATGGTGCCACCGTCGTATGTTCAACTTCCTTCCTACTTAAAAATCCGCTGTTCCAGAACATTCTCTACATGCTGGCCTCCTTTTTCGGCCTCTACATCGGGAACCCGGCTGTGAAACCGAGTTCCAGGTCTCCGTCGACTCCGGACTCCGTCTTGGTGGGTGGCCGAGTCGGCGGTCCAAGGTGTAGGTCGTCGGTCGGCTCACGGAGCTGCAGATCTGCTGCTGATAACGATGAAAACTGGGCGCTCCTTCATGCCATCTACTGAGGTCATGTCATGATTCTTCTCCACAGCCTGTTACATCTTCGTCTGCGTTTGCCAGCACGAAGAGTTTCTCCTTGGCAGCAAATGCCACAGGGTTGCCATCTGCAGCCCTCTGTGCGTCCAAATCAATTGAAACGACTGCCCTTTCAGCTGTGTCAACTGGTCACACGGCTTGCCATACCAAAGACCGAATCTCGGGATGGTCAGGAGAAGTTTTAGCCCCTGGAACCCCTTTCCATGATAGTTCCTCTCAGGGATCCTGCCGTTTTGGTGGTGAAACACACCCTTCCTTTCGCATGGAAAAAAATTCGATGCCACAATGCCAAGGTCCGGATCGAGGAGAGGTTTGCTACTCCAAACAGGGCCCCACTTCCCCAAAACTTCTACCAGCATAGGCCCCCCAACAGCCCCTGGTCTCTCAACACCTCCAAAAGGGCTCCAGGGATGATTTCCACGAGACGGATTCTCTTTTATGTGTCATGATTCTCTGGGAGAATTTCAGTTTCCCCAACGAGCCCTGGTCACTTGTCGCGGACGTGCCTACTAGTGTACCCTCAAAATAAAGGGCCAAGCAAACTATCCACCTGTTCTTGTTTAGTGGGACACTCCCCAAATTTCTCCGCGTTTTGTAGGTTGTCCACTGGTCCTGGGTACGGTGTCATTTTACCCTCGCCTCTTGTTCAGTGTCAGCCCCTCCGACCAGCCGGCTTCAAACACCTATGCCGCCTGGGATCAACCGCAGGCCGCATGGGCAGAATTATCCTCCTCACACCGATGTGGCACACAGTATGAACGCATTTGCTTGCCCTACAGAAGTCCTGGCCACCATGGATTGAGTGGCCACTCCTAAAGGATTCTCTGGGTTGACTGCCATGGGCCAGGGAACTATGCTGGCAATTGTCTTGAACTTGTCAATCGTACTTCTTCCAATTCGTGGACCCGCAGCTCTTGAATGGTGAACCATGCGGAACAACCATATAGCTTTACTAAGCGTTTTTGGTCGAACAGGAGGCTGGGGATGAGTTTGATGTCGCTCGTGGTGTTGTACACGTGAGCTTTGGAACAGCGGGCCCGAATCCCTGGTGCTTGCTGTGGACCCCGAGGCCGTGGGCTCGGGGGTGGGACCTCCGACTCGCTCGAGCCGGAGTAGAGGTTGCTGATGCGTACCATCATGTCGAAACAACCAGGTGAAAGGGGGTTCCCATTGGTCAGAATTCGTGGATAGACATGTGAGTCGGTGTTTCAGACATGTGAGTTTTCACAGGTCTTCACATGGTGTG